CGTTTTTAGAGTTTATTTCTTGAGTCAGGGGGAAAGAGAGAGACTGATAGAAAAGCAAGCACTCTCACCAGGCTCTGGCACCACAGTCCTCCCCCAGACCATGGGCGCAGGTGCCTGGCACATTCAGGCATCAGGGAACCGAACCTGTGATCTTCGTATGGATCCCGCAGCTCTGGAGCAGCACGGGAACGCCTCGCCACCAAGCTGGCCCAGTGTTGTCGTTTCTGAGAGAAGAACTTTGGTAGGGAGAAGATAGGTGACCGCCGGGTGAAGCCATCCTGTGTGCCAGGAATCTCCCAGCCCTTCGGTCCTGAGCAAGCTGGGACCACCAGTCCTCCTGGGGACCAGGCAGAACTGGTCCCTCCTTTGTGGGTCGAAGCTGGGCCTCCTGGAGCTGTGCTTGGACACCGTGTGTCAGACTTGGTATGGGGCTCGGGGACACAGTTGGGAAGCTTGGTTCAGAGCTGAAAGGGCAGCACGGGGGACAGTGGTCCGTACCTTTCTGAGAACCGTGCCCCGTAGGGAGAGCAGGTCAGGGTGGGACTGAGATTCAGGCAGAGGCTGGGGCTGTCTCGTTGCCTTAGATTTCCAGGCTGCCCCACATGTTTCAGCATTTAGTTAAATACGTACTGATCAGTGAGGGCTCAGTTGAAAAGAAACACATTTCCTGCCTTTGGTTTGGGGAAAAAAATAAATAAATTAAAAATATTTTATTTTAGTTTTATTTTTAACTTTTGAAAGAAAATCATAAGGAGAAGAATAGTATTCAGCAGTGCCAAAAAAGAGTATGTAATTCAGCCTGAGATCCTGACGGGAAGAGAGAGGAGAGGGAGAGAAACAGCAGAGCCATAGAGGGGGTGGGTGGCCCCTGGCTCTGGCAGGGCCTGCGTTCCCCGGGCCCTGCAGGCTCTGGCCAGTGAGGGTGTCCCCCCCACCCCCGGTGTTCCTTCACAACCCCCACTGCACACAGGAACCCTAAAGTAAGCTTTAGAAAATGATCACTGCCTCGGCCCTCCAGGGACCCCACGCTTTTCCATTTCTGTCCTAGTCTTTGGCGTCTGCCTGGCATAGAATGACTCACTGAATCATGTTTGTTGAGTGAATGAAGGATTGAATGGACCGGTTTAATGTGTCGTTGCACCTGACAGTTTTCATTGAGTCACTTTTACACTGGGAAGCGTTGTGTCTGCTCAGAATTTGTTTTTGAAATGAAGGCTTGTGTTTTCAGGGAATTCCGAAAGCTCATTTTGTGCCCTAAATGGGAAATAATCCTTCCAGTAGCCAGCTGACCTGTCTGAACTCCCGGGTCCATTCATCCCCAGGTGGATGCATTCACTTACTTATCAGAGGAGTCACGTCTGGTGTGGGTCTTGTGCTTGTAGGCCTGCAGGTGAAATCCACTGGAGTGGTGTGCCTAGAAAGATGGGATCCAGAGCGTTAGACTCATCCTCGCTTTCCTGCGAGTTTAGAGCAATGTCCTTTCTCGGGGCCTGAAGGTTACTCAGGGCAGCACCCTCCCCGCTCTCCAGCCACAGGTCCAGGTGAAGTTAAGCCGCCCTTGTCCTGAACTTGGATGTTGGCCTTGAGCGCGGCAGGACCTGTCTACACCGCAGTGCCCACAGGGGCAGGCTGCACATTCAGATGCGTGTGGGGGGTCACGGGGTGGCTGGTTGCCTCGCGGAGCATCTGCAGTGATGGTTCCAGGCCTAGTGATGACTTCATAGCAAAGGGATTTGCTTAGAGAAGGTCCAGCCCATGTGCACTTTGACTCCCTGACCTTACCTAAGGTGACCTCCCACATGCTAAGAAAGAAAACCGGCATCTGTTGACAGTTGCGTTCACACACATCACCTAGCGCTGTTCTGTGAGCTTGGCAATATCCTCCTTGGCTTACACATGTGGAAGCCAAGGCTCAGAGACTGTCACAAGGGTCGAAAGACAGAATCACGGCACATTTAGTTGAAGGCCTAGCTGGCTTCTATTCGTGATTCATGAATTGGAGCAGCCTCCCTTCTACAGAATGGCATCCACGCTCCCACCGGGCAGTGGCAGGTCAGTGGGGTCTCTAAGGCAGGAGCGAAGAAACAGGGAGAAGCTTGCTAGTCAACAGGTTATTTCCGGGTTGCTAGTAAGGGGGAAAGCAGAAAGCGCTTTATTACCCCGACTCAGGCAGACCGGAACCTTCCGACTTTAGGAAAACCTGGCTTGTTTGCGGCCTGCCTACTTCCCGAGCATGAGAGACTCCATCTTTGTTTGGTCCAGTCTGCTGGGGCCGGTGCAGGGGCTGTTCCAAAACCATGGCCTCCCGGGAACTTTTTTTTTTAAGAGTGATTTTTGCTACAAGGCACACGTGCCCCCGAGAGACAGAGACAGAGAGACAGAAAGTGAGAAATCACCCTCTAGGCAGGATGGCCACACTGCAATCTCTTCTTCATCCTCCTCTCATGCACACATGCCCGGCATTAGTTTTTTTCATTATTTAAATTTATTTACATTCATTCACTGTACATCATTACAGCATACAACATGAGATTTTCCATCCAGAATACACTGTATATTGGCTCAATCAAGCACATCAGCAAATAATTTTCTATTTCTTATTTCCTGTATATTTTGCTTTTTTCCATCCTTGATTCCCTATCTCTCACCCTTTGCTGTCTCCCACCCTCTTCACACACTGTCTCTGGTATCTAGGTTGCTTTCTATGCCCCCCCATATTTTATTGATTCATTAAAGAGCTTAAAATATTTGCAATAGCAAAGTGCAGCTGATATATACATGTCCATGAACACAAGTCTAATTTTAGGCATAAACCGCAGTAGAATGAACATACTGTAAAGTAGCACCTAGCTGGGGCTATATAGCTTACTGCAGTCATAAGCCACCGGGTCTAGGACATGAACCATGGTCAACTACGTTGGGGCCCTGGAGTGTAACCATTTCTCCATCTGCTGGTCCCCTCCCATAAACTTTAACACAAGAGCAACCTGTCCAGGTCACTCGGCTAACTAGTGGAGGAGGTTATTGGTTAACAAGTTACCCACCCATAGTCACTCGGCTGGTTAGTGGAGGAGGTTATTGGTTAACACAAGTTTACCAGCCAGGGTCATTCCGCTGGTTTAGCTGACCCAAAAGTTCTTGTCACTCCCTGCAGAAGCACATTTCCTTTGGAGAGATGATGAATTTCAGAGTGGAAGTAACTCCACCTCTTCCCTGGCCCTGGGGTTTGCTAACACTGACTGACTGGCCTTGCCACTTGGGGAGCTTTTACACATAAGCGGGGAAATGGATCTGCTGTGAAGAAGACACTGCTGGCCTCGGTACTTCCTCTTCTCCGAGTATCAATGTGGGATGATGGCAATGCTGCCAAAGCTGCCTCCCGCCGTGGGGTAGGAGCCTAGCCAGCCATCTGATTATGTTAAAGAGGAGCCTTTGCTCTGTCCGCAGAGCTGTGTGTGCTTGCAAGAGCCTTTGTTTAACAAGGCCCTTAGAGCAGTTTGCTATATGCAAAGGTTAGTCTAGACTTCAGGTCACTGGGCTGTGTCCTGGGGGCAAACTGCTTTCTAGAGAAATCAGTGAACCTTCAGGGAATTAGGTAGACAACCTGGGAGGAGAGGAGAGAAGGGAGAAATCTGGGGCCTGAGGAGAGGAATTCCCCGTGGGTGGCCTGATTGGGGTGACCTTGAGGGAGAAGCAGGGGTGGGCTGGCTGGGCTCTTGAGTAATGTTTCTGTCTTAC